ATATTCAACCACTTTGTCATCATGTGAAATATGTTTACCGTTGTCGGCAGAAAAGACGGTGGAATTAAAGATACGATTTGACAAGTACCTTTTCACCCACCTAAAAGCTACGAGTGACCGTACGATACACATTCGTGGGGTTATTTGTCTTTCTAGGTGGCAACATACTGTTAAAGACTGTTCGGATTTTCCTCCCGAACATACACTCGGCTGGTGACCTTCCTTCTGGTACTGCCGGATTAGGGGTAACCCTGTACGACATTGAGAAATTACTGATCACTTATTCTGGGATACCCTCACCTCCCCCTTTCACCAGAGCTCTTTTTATCGTATCCACGAATCTTTCTGCCAGGCCATTCGACTGAGGATGGTGCGGAGGAGTTTGTTGATGGGATATGCCATTTTCACTGCAAAAGCGTTTGAAAGCGAATGACATAAACTGAGTACTGTTGTCGGTCACAAAGATCGCCGGAACCCCGAAACAAGCAAACACTCCTGACCATTTTCTTGTTGTGCACTCTGATGTCGTTTTCGGCATGTCGTATACTTCTGGCCATTTTGTGAAAGCATAGACAACAACTAAATAATTTCTGCTTTGCATTGGTCCGGTTAAATCAGCGTGCATTCTTTGCCAAGGCCCATCCGGTTTTGGCCACAGTTGTAGTTCAGCTTCGCAGCCTCTAGACGGGACCAAGAACTGCGACATTTTTGTTCTATATCATGGTCCATTGACGGCTAGTATACATAGCTGTGAGCTAGTGACTTCATTTTACTTATCCTCGGGTGCCCGCTGTGGAAGTACTTAATGACTTGGTGTCAAAGATTTTTTGGGATAACGATGCGGTGGCCAAACATGATACACAAATCGACAAATGTCAAAGAATCTCGTCTACGAAAATATCGAAGAGCTCTCCATTTAGTCTAGATGAAGGCGTCTGACAATACTTTGTGAACCTAAGCCTTAACATTTATGGCAGCTACAAGCACCTCCTCTACTTGTTTTCCATGCGAACCAACCAATCTAGAGAGGGTATCTGCCTGTCCAAAATCCGTTTTCGGTTAGTACTTTATCTTGAAATCATAGCCCAGCAGTGTAGTTGCCCATCGCTGTAGACGGTTTGCTGTATATACAGGGATACCATTTGGGATCCAAAAACTGTCAGTAGCGGTTTATGGTCTGTTAGTGAGGTGAACTGTCTGCCAAACAACATCTTGTGGAACCTTTTTACGGCAAATATAATGGAGAGGGCTTCTTTACCTATCTGTTCCTTTCAGTTCCTTTCAGTCATAGTCGGCGATCTTGCAGCGTGGGCGATCGCCTTCACAGACCCGTCAGGGTAGATATGTGAAATTACTGCTCCGATTCCGTAGTTTGGCGCATCTGCTGCGACTATAATTGGAAGATCTGGATCATAGTGTGTAAGTAGAAGGTTTGATTATAGGAGCTGCTTTAGTTTTAGGAATGCTTCCTGGCATTCAGTTGACCAGAAACATTTGGTATCCTTTTTCAGTAGGCAATTAAGAGGAACACGAAGGCGATGCAGATCTGGAAGAAAAACGCCATAATGACTAACCATTCCCAAGAAAGAACGTAAAGTTGATTCATCCGTCGGTAGGGGCATGGAGTTGATAGCTTCGATGTTTTCAGGGTCAGGTTTTCTTCCGTTTTTATCGATTATAAATCCCAAGTAGCGAACTTGCTCCATGAAAAAATCACATTTTTCGGCACGCATTGTGAACCCATAGTCTGCTATGCGTCTGAGAACCCTATCCACCTTATTCTCTAAATCAGCATAGTCTGTACCCATGATCAATATACCATCGAGATAGGCCGCGGTACCAGGAATGTCTTGTAAGATAGTACCCATAACTTGTTGGAAGATTGAAGGAGCGGTCTTTACTCCAAAAGGAAGTCTGTTATACCGGAACAATCCCTTGTGAGTGTTTATTGTCAAGTAATGCTTACACTCATCCGCTACCGGAATCTGTAGATAAGCATCTGATAGGTCTAATTTCGCAAAATACTTACCCCATTCAGTTTCGCAAATAAATCCCATGGTACCGGCAATGGATATTGATGGGCTTCAAGTGCTTCATTTAATCCAGTCGAATAATCTGCACATAACCGGATACTTCCATTCGGCTTTTTGACAATCACTATTGGTGCTGCCCAATCAGAAAAGTTTACTGGCTCTATTATTCCACTTCTTTGCAGACGCTCTAATTCTTGTTCAACAATAGGCAACGCTGCATAGGGTACCGGACGTTTTGGTCTGAAGACGGGGGTGACTCCCGGTTTAAGAATCAGTAGCACTTTTGCCTTTTTGCACTCCACCAGCTCTTCCGTAAACACTTGACTATGTCTTTCCAACACAACACCCTTCTGATCCTTTTCCACTGGTTTATTGGTTCTCGTGGCGCTGCATATGTGGTTAATGGAGTGATTTGCTAATTGTAGTGTTTCTATCAGGTCTAGACCCAGCAAATCTAGTGCTGGGTTCTCTGTGAGATATAGCGTTGCATCCGTCCTCGCGTTTCCTTTTGAAACTGTACAACAAACCTCTCCAAAAATATTTAATTTCCCTTCAGATGCACTATGAACTAACTGGATTGTTGGGAGCAGCTGTGGTTTTCCGATAAGATTCTAGGTTCTTCGACTAATAAGTGTGATGTCGGAAGCAGTGTCAAGCTGCAGGCGTGCGCGCTTTTTATTTATATCTAAGTTTACATACTTTCGTTGGCGGTAAATTTGTGATCGATTATGTGATGCCAAAATTTTGTTAGTTAGAGCAGTATATCTCTATTTCTTGGAGTAGGGTTTCGAAGAATGTCGTTTATGGGTTCTCTTCCTGCAGCTTCTTCTGAGCCTTCTACAGCTTCCTCGAGTTCACCCGTGGTCCGTCGTCACATTGGCAGAATCTTGTCAGTTTCGTGAAGTTGGAACTGTTTATTAATCAAGCGAAAGCAAGTGTAATGTTCGTACAATACATGATCCAAAACTATATCCAGAGTTTGCACATACAATAGAAAGTTTATATTCATACTGTTGCAAATAATTATCAATACAATATGATGAATTCCATACATACTGCATTATTTTTTGCTTAACAGGGTAATGGGACTGTCAGCGATGGGACTCCGTCAGGAAAAGCATGTTACATACATGTTGCAACATAAGTACTTCATGAATAACTTGCAATCACTCACTTCTATTTACCGTTCGATGAAGAAATAAGTTAGCACCAAACAGCTAGTATATATCCTTTATCTCTGTTAATAATCATATGTATATGTAATAAGCGTCTAAGTTCTGCTGACTTTTGGAGTGAAAAATGTTTTTCCAAACTCATCCTATTAGCATACTTGCAGAAGTGAAGATGAAGAAAGGGTTGTTAGATTGCGAATAGCAAACAACTAAGAGCAAATAATAGACGCAGATTCTGATCTTTGACGTTAGAGCACAGATAAAAATCCTTGGTCAACGTTTTTTCCGATAATCAAGCAAATTGATGTCAAAACTACAGTTTTACTCGTGTATACCGAAACAAAATATGAGCGAAATAAGTTTACTGATGGTGGAAAATAACTACTGTGTGATTTCTAAGTATTTCTGTAATACCTACTTTCACCTTGTAATTAAATACACCAAGTCCAGGGTCGCATTATTTGGTAAACGATCTGGACGACCAATCAGATATACGTCAACCTGGTAAACTTTAAACATGAACGTGAACCAAAATCCTTGTTTCACTGCCACACAGTAACCCGAGACTGCACAGTGTACTCTCCCTACTGTAACGCCGTGAGAACAAGCCGGTACCCATGTAAATGAATTTATTTAAGACTTCTACATAGAAATATATGCGGTGGTTATAGAGACAAAGAATTAAACCTCCACGAATTAAGTATTTGATTTGTGCATACAAAATATGACCGCACGGCAACATGTAGTCGTTGAAACGCTCAAAAGCACACAGTCCATGGAGTCCATGGAGTCCGTGGAGTATTAACAACATACATAATGCCTTTTTCGTAGCAGCGGGTGTATTCTCCTGCAATTACTTCGTCTTTCATTCTCTCAACTTATTCATGATTTACTGCCGCAATTTTAGCTGCGAAAGTTGTGAGCTTATTTAAGAGTTTGAAGTGACCTGAGAACCCCAAGTTTTGGAAAACTTCCCGAGCTCCCAATTCTGGGGAGAATTTGACCCGTTTTGCGAAGCCTCCATGGGGTTTTGTGTCATTTCCCCAAAGTTTACTATAGCGGCTTCCCCGAAACTTCCCCGAAATTGGGAGCTCGGGCGGGATTACTGATCTACAGCAAATAATTTGTACAGTTAATCCTTACCTCCCTGAAAAATGCTATGTAGACATAGAACAAACACATAATTATATCCGCATGACTGTGCGCAGACTGTATCACGGAAGTTTTAGTCGCTGCCGAATTCATAACATGTATCGTAAGTACCACACATGGTTTCTTTGAAGTATTTGAGTAAACTTACGACGTCTTCACGTCGTTCTTTCATGCACAGAGCACACATGACGCTGTGCTCTTGCCCAAGACTATTATTAACTGTCAGCTTGAATAGTGGAAAAACTTTAAGATGAGGTTATTATGTGTTACTTAACCTACTTTGTTGAACCGGTAAGTCGCAGTACTGCGTTTACGTCCATAAGTACAAACATATCTGATAAATATACCTTACGGTTGGGCCATCTTTGTTCTTTCTGAATACTGAAATGATATACTTAGTGTGCGTATACTATACAACGAATTATCAATCACAGAAGTCATATTACCTTATGTACTCTTTTCTGCTGAAAGAGCTACCTTGGCAGGTCTCAAAATTGTCCCGATGACATAGTATCATTGAAGATTCGTCCTATATCATGCATCATTAAGATGGCATCACTTTCGTTACTTGAAGGATGGACGTTACCACATACAGTGTGGTTGAACTCAAATCAAATTCAAAACTCTTGAGTTGACCGCTTCTGTAAAGTCTTACGAATTGTCGAGGTGACGCATCAATCGTTTTACGACAGTTTGACCTTCAAGTGCCCAATCACGTCCTTCATTCAATGAAACCACTGGACCGTTACTCGACATGGTTCGTCGGTTATTTCATTGTTTTGTATAGATGTATATTACTGGTTTAATTCGATTTTCTTTGAAAATTGCTCACATTTATCTGCAGATTTTTGTACAGGTTGGTTAATCCAAGGAAAGTTTTCCAACCCAACTTCCTAAATCTTTAATGTTTGCTAAATGTCTGACTAATTCGTATATTTTCCCTCAGAATTTAGGTTCTTTTCAACCAGATCGTCACTCTGGGGCTATTCTTGTGAGTATATCAGGATAAATGCTATGTAATGGGTTAACCTGTACAAACGAGTCTTAAAGTTTGTTTATCATTAGAATTTATTTCATTTTTATTTCAACACATAAATAATGGTACAAAGAGGCACCAAATACATATGCGCCACACAAATCTCATTTGATATGTGTGAGGGCTGTGATACTGCCCGGGTGCCCAAACCGAAGCAGGTGGTTTTCTTAGGGGGCCACACCCCGAGCCTTCGACCCGAAGGTCTGATCCACAAGGCAGTGGAGCATCCTAAGGAGATGCAGTCCCATGGAAGCCGGTGACCAACGATTGGTTCATACGCCATTTGTTCCTTCAGGATACTAAAGCCCATGTGCACCATTGGTTTGGAATCCAGTTAAAGCGTTAAACATTCGCTTTTCGTCCTCTCATTTTCGTAAACAACATCCCTGCCACGAGAAGGCAGTGAATAGTACTTCCTGGCAGAGGCTGTATACGCGTGGCCGTGTGAGAGCATTTCTCAAAAGAGTTGACTCCCTCAACTCTCGTCTGTACCAGGGCATTTGGGGGCTTTGCAACTATAGTACAACAGTGAATAGTTATGAGTTTAAACTAGTATATACATATTCTTGTTTTCAATTACGCTTTCTTATTTTGTCTCTATCGTGAAAGTACTCTTGCGTCGCGATGTCATACAGTTTTGCAAGTTCTTTTCACTGACGGATAGGAATAAGAACCGAGTTGTTAATGCTCCTGAAGGTTTTGAAAACAAAGTTCTTACTTCGTATGCACTCGTAAAACCTGCACTTCTGAAGTTCTCTTTTAGACGAAGTGTCAAGTAGAGTAAAATGACTGGCAGCTTCAGGTGTCATGACGTATGACAATAAATAGCGCATAGACATTTTAGGGTTGTCGTTTATTAACCAAGTCAATATGGCCATTTGCAATGAATTTTGTTGACGTACAAATTTGCTCCTTATGTCTTGCTTCTGAAGACATGAGTCCAACGTTTTCCGTTCCTCGGATGACAAAGGGGACTGCAAACTTAATAGTCGGAAATCAAATTGCCGCGGATGTTCACGCCCACCAGACTTCGATATTAGCTGCACAATGTTGGTACTCAAGTCTGAAACAACAGTACATGATACAGTCTATCAAATCTTAAGCACTTAGCTCAGTTGGGCATTTTACTTACTCGGTCGGTAACCCACTTCTCACACGCCTAGACTTGTATGTTGAGCGTTACTACCCAACTGTGTCGAACTAGTTTATTAAGGTATATGTAGTAGGCACGCATACTTGGCACTTGGTGAGACAACGGTGTTTAGCAACCAAAATTTAGGATATTGGATGTGGATGTTTCTAGCCTGCATCTCGGCCACATCCATGTCAATGGAATTGTACAGAAGCCATTCGTTCAGTTTCAATGCACCTCTACGAAATGTTAGATTACTGTGCTGACTTCTTCAGCTTCTCATTGTTTAGTGGCAGTGTTTACGTCTGTAGAACTGTTGACACGGTAAACATCCAATTTGTTGAACGAAGCTAACAACTCCTTTGCGGTCTGGAAACTATCTATAGGAAATGGTCGTTTCTATGTTTGTAACTCACCGCATTCGTGAATGACCTTACACTTCATGACTGACCAGTTGTCATCTGACTGGGCACTGTTTTGTAGGTGCATATTAAAAAGGACCGTAGGATAGAGACAAAGTCCTTTTCCCACAACTCACTGTTTTGCTGCAATCAGAACCTGCCTCCCACTTAGTGAGTCTATAATTACGCACTGCTTGTTGCTCGGCTAAATAGGAACTGGTTTAAAGTAATACCATCAGCAAAAACCAAAAATAGCACATAAACGTATGTAGCAATGGAACAGTCGCTAAATTATTAACACAAGAGCAATACATTTACAGTCAATATCCTTAAAGGAAACCTATGTGTGCTCATGACTAACTACAGAGCACATAAATATTCCTGTCACTAAAATGGAAGGGTTCTTCGAAGTAATCCCGTGGGTCTGTAAGTGATCTAAATGTCATTAGTCCATTTTCCCCTACATCAGTTGCAATACCAAGCTTTCGTGTACTAGAATAACATCTGGCTTAAATGAAGTTATTTTTGTATTCTTCAGCATAATTACCTGTTTCCCTGAGTGTTTTAACGATTGTTTGTATAGTATAGTATATAGTCAATATGCTAACTTGAAGCCTATCACAGAAAGATATCTACGCGTAACGCTGAGCTGCTTGCTTGGCTGCATCATACCCGCCATGTACTGATTTCTTAATCTGTCTCATATAAGACTCGAATGGGAAGGCGAAAAAAAATCTAAAGGTCCATGTGAACGAACATCCACAGGAAGGTGCTTCAACAAATACACATTATAAGTTTTCAGGCCCTTAATACCGTTCATATTCCCTAAGAAAGTTCACTAAACCAATTCCGATAGAATCCGTAACGCTGTTATGTAGTCTTGGATGCGCTAACAAATAAGTCGATAATACTAAACGCTTGAAATTAAGGTACAAGGTTTGTGGTAAACTTTGTTGAAGAATTATGCCGCCTAAGTACGGAAGAAACAGTAGACACTGTCGACTTCCATACTGAGACGAAGTCTAATGTCCGACATTTACATTGAAAGTCAGAAGGAGCACTTGCTACGCAACTTGATGTTAACTTGTATCCCTAATTACATACTTGTTTATGTTTCTTAGTCTTTTGTGAGAAAATTCTATCTATTTGTTGATTATTTTTTTCATCTCAGCCACAAATCCTCATTATCTCCTCCTGACAGTCGAAAAAGCAGGCATTATGGTGCATTTCCCTATTATTTCCCCTTTATCTTTCAACGAATTTTCCCTTTTGTTCTTTATTTCACCTTTATGGGTTGCTTCGGGTGTACTTCCAGGTTTATGCATTTAAGGAGGCTCGTCAAACGAGGTGTTTTGAATGTACGCATCTGCATATCTGTAGTTATCATATTCATTGAGATAGGAATTGATAAATGAAGGGAACCATAGTTTATGAGTCTTTTTTATCATTAATCTAAACGGTGTAGAAAAGCATGAGATTCTTAAATGTGTTTCATATAACAATCTTAAAGTATTGTCAATGGTATTAAATGACATTGGCTTCAACATTTGCAGTAGCGGGGATAAATCCATTCTTTGCAAGTCTTGAGAATACCATTATCTTATGTAGGGTATCCGCTTATTGATAATGGAGTTTGATTTTAAAATCACTAGGTTACAGGATCGACTCTTGGTACGTTTTAGGATTAAGTATATCCCTCATACAAGACGTTTTACTCAAAATCGAGAACGCGAGTCCTTACTAAGTTGTTATTCTTGGAATTCACTCATTTCTTTTTCTCTCGACGCCTATGTGGCTCGTAAGTTTGAATGACGTTTGACAACTTGGACTGATACACATTCGTATTAGATTTCACGTTATTTGTCTACCTTGTTCGTACTTACTCCTTGGCTTTATTGTCAAAAGATTTAATCACTTAAATCACGAATGCGTAATTTCGATATCTGTAGGTTACTAGTATTTGATCATAGGTGTCTTCGAAATATTGCTCGTATATCCTGGGACCATCGAGTAAGTAATGCAGTTGTTAGGATACGGGTACTAGGTAAGGATGGCAAATCAATTGATGACGTATTGAAACTTCATCAGTTGAGATGGCTGGGACACGTGTTACGTATGTCCAACGACCGACTGCCTCGACCTGCGATGTTCAGTGGTATAGGGAGTAGGTTGTAAGAAAGCTAGGGGCGGCCAGACCAAAACATGGCACAAGTCCATGAAGTCACTGACAAGTGGACTGAGTCATGTCGGTAGGTGTAGACTACCTGGTTGGGGACCGCGAGATTATAGCAACCGATGGTGAGAGACCCTGAATGACATGGCTCAAAATCGTTCGCAATGGCGCGGGTGCATACACTCTTCGTGTTCTACCAAATTCTAATCTTCTGAATTCTTCATGTCCCTTTTTTCCTCTTCCCAAATTTATTTCACTGTATTATACTCTTTAAGTAACATCTCCAAACACTAATCTTCCCAATTACTGCTTATACTCTTATTACCTCTACCACTACGGGATTTGAATCGACCACTGCATCTCTGTGCTAATGTGGTGTGGCAACTCGAACTGATGTACGTACGTACGAAGTTCTACGTTGTTACTGACTGAATTTCGATCTTTAATCAATTTTCACTGGAATTAATATTAGGTGGTTGGATATTACCAATAAGCAACCTTAAACCAATATTCTCTTAGGATGTATGAACTTAGAATGATACGCACGCCAGACCCTACATTGTGAGGGTAAATTCTCGTCTGTCATGAGTTTTAACAGTAGGACGGCTGTGTTCTGTGGGGGAGTATACGGCTACAAAAAACAAAGTTCCCATTATTCTTCTCACATTCTGTCTACAAGTGAAATTCACAAAAGAAACACAAATTATTTTTTAAGAAACCAAATTCTGTAAGTTTATTTGGTTTACTACTTGTTTGCAAATGTCTAGAAGTACATCGTTTTTGTTCTGCATTATTTTCTCATGATATTTACTTCGTACAATGTACTAAAAACCTTGTTTTACTAATCCAATAAATTTTATACTCCCAATGCACAAGAATTCCATGTTGTAAAGTTAAATCTATTCTTAATATTTCAGATATCTATGAAAAGGACGGCACGTGATGAGGTAGATTGCAAATCTAGGACTCGTAGACATTCAAAGAAATCAAAGTCAACTGATTGTCCTTCCACAAAGGCGTCAGGAATTAATATCGGTTTAGACAAGTCAAATCAAACGTGTAGCGTTAAGAAGGAATATTCCAAGAATGAAAAGCTTGGTCGTAAATCAAAAAAGATGGTAAGTATTTTTGGTATAGCTAATGCTTTTGTTCAGATCTTACAAAAATCTATTTCTGAGACCAAAGGTAAAAATCAAATCTTTGTTTAAAGTAATGCTTATAATTAAATTTTGACGTGATATATTTTTGTTGTAGATTGAGTGACATTTTCACTTCACAGTTATCCTATAAGTGTATTCGACAAGTGCTTTGCCAATAAATATTCTATTTGGCATCAAATAGTTTTATATAACTTAACATATGCAGTAAAATAAACTCGAAATTATATTCTGAACCTGAGATCTGTTAATAATACCTTATTACTTTCATAATAATACAGCCGCCGTAGTATTCTAAGCTTAACAAGTGACAAATAGGGATGTTTTAATATGTATTAACAAAAAATCTTAAAGGTAGTGTACCGTATAACCTTCGTTAATACATTAAAGGGGAGACGAGTTTTTAAAAAAAACTTATTGAAAGTTAATAAAGGAAGAAACGTTGACTATAAGCAAGAGTACGGATTAATTTTAAAACTGCATAAAATTGTAATGAGTCAAACCTCTTAAGTGCGCCTCCACAAAGCTTCCTGAATTGTAAAGTTTTTTTCTGTGGATGCTACAGCCTACAACCTATGGCGAACGCGAGATATCCGTCTACCAATTAAGGGACGAGTATACTGAGCAGCAGTTCGTTCTGTTCTACTTTACGGCTGCGAAACGCGGCCATTAAGAGTGGAAGATACTCGTAAACTACTAGTGTTTGATCACAGATGTCTTAGAAATATTGCTGGGATCACCGGGTAAGTAATAGTGAGGTTAGATACAGGGTATTAGGGAATGATGGTAAATCTGTTGATGAGGTTGTGAATCTTCATCGACTGAGATGGTTGGGCCACGTGTTACATATGCCTGAACACTGATTACCACGACGTGCAATGCTGACCGTTGTTCGGGATGGTTGGAAGAAAGTGAGGGGCGGCCAAACCAAAATGAGGCATCAGTCTTTGAAGTCACTAACTTCTAGTCTTAGCCATGTTGGTAGATGCAGATTACTACGAACGGTTGGAAACTGGGGTGACATGGCTCAGAATCGATCACAATGGTGTCGGTTTAACACTCTATGTCTTCCCTCAATCTATGAGATTAAAATTGCTTTATATCTTTCTACGAACTAATTCTTTCTTCCTGTATTATATCCTTATATGCAATCTTTCTTTTATATATTACCACCATTCAATTAACTACTTCTATGAATCCGGTGTTTATCTTGTGCTAATGAGGTATGACAACTTGGACCGATGCATATATGTGCCCAGTCCTACGTTGTAGTTGACTGAGGACTTGAAATTCCTCAAGATTTCTTACAAGACGTCTCCTTCCTTTTCCTAAATATTGGTATGATTATCTGGTAACAATAGAAATTCGTAATTGTAGGGTTTAGAAAGCTTTTGTTATAATTCATCATGATTCGCTACCTTGCTATATCTCGCCCCTGTAACAATCTCATTTCGTCTCTATATTTTAACTTTAATGTTTCTGTTAACTAATAATTTTTTTTCCGAAATACTCTGTAGTATCCGTTCTTTTTAACAGAAAGTCGTCCGCTTTTATTCACTTGGATATTTAATGTTCACAATACTAATAGGTTTTATTGCATTAATTTGTTTCTGTGTTTTGTGTAAAATTTCTGTATGTTAGTGTTACGTAGTTTTGCGTTAAGTTGTTTATAAGCTACACAGAAAAGCGTTTCGATAGAAATAATTCCTAGTCCTTGAACTTATTTTAGCTGATCAGCAAACAAATAAAATTTTATCACTTCGTTTTATGCTTTCTTTTAAATAAAACTTTTTATAAACGCATGCGATTTTTTACGATTAAGAGCTAACACATGGGACACCAAAGTTGTTGCTTACCAGTCTACCATGCAGTGTCAGCCAAACCATTTTGAAGGATATTTTTCCATCAGTTATTCATTTGAATTTGCGTAATACAGCTGGTTCGAAGCACGCGCTTTTAGACTTTTCAAGTAATGACGATTACTTAGATGCTGTGAATCGTTTAAAATCAATTGAATTTGATGGTGTCAAAGTAAGTGTATATTATACATTTAGCATACTTTAAGTAATCTCGATTTTATTGTTTATTTTTTTCTTTTCGGCGAATTCATTTTCAAAGCTGTACAATCGCTGCATTGCCGCGGCAATAGCCATACATTTTGAAAAACCAGAATTATGTGTACAAAAGAGACTGGTACAACCTCTTCTTCTACCATGGTCTTATTGTATTAAATAAAAGATTTAAAAAAATTTTCTCTTTCTTCATACTCTTGTTCCCTTACAGCCACCTGCTTCACCTTCCATCTTCCCTTCAAATCTTCTACCCCCAACCGGTTTGTTTTTATTTCCACGATCATTCCGATCACATTTCATCTCTGTTTCAACATTTTATTTTATCATGCTGAGCCATCATTACCCAATGAATACTTCAGCCATTAACTATCAAACGATTATTAAACTTTCCTTGTTTAAAAATTTTTTTAATCTCACTGTCACCATGTATAACATAAGTTTATTATCGGTATTATTATCACCCTGTAAAAATAAGTATATATATTTGCGATTGTACAGCTTTGAAAATGAATTCGCCGAAAAGAGAACTCTTCGCTGAACTAATCTTTCTTTCTTATTTAATGTCATAATGGGTGTATTCCGTTTATTATTTTCTGTCTACTGGTCACAATTTGTTTTGTGAGGTGTACTTACAAATAACTTTTTGTCACTTGTTATGTCGCTTATTTTCTAAGTTTTGCGCTCTTCGTTGTCGAATGGAATATGATGTTCAGAATAAAATTTTCGAACATGAATTTTAACAGTTGGGTCTCATGTCGAAATCTCACTCTTCATCCCCTTTTAGTTTTGTCCATCTGTTAGTATTTATAGTCGTCGCACAAGTAATATGGTGCTTTTTATCTAGCGTTAAGTTTGTTACTATCATCAAAGCACTTTGTTATAATCTTTTTCTTACGGTATGACCCAGCTATACCTATTGCTTAATATTCTTGGACACCGATTCACTCGACAAGTCCCCAAATCAGAACACGGTTGAACAGGAAAGAGATTATATTCCAAATAACAAGGTTAGATGGAAGCAAGAAGCAAGTAAGAAGCACAATAGGGAAAACGTTAATACATTTATAGTTTTTACATGAGAAGATTCTACAGTATTCTCCAACTATCGACTAGTGCCGATTGGATAAGAATTAGCCAATCAGCGTGCACCAAAGCAATCGTGCATTGAGCATGCTTTAATCCGGTCTATGTCCTGCTAACACACTTCTTAAATACTGAGCACTTAAACTAAACATCTTCAGGACACCTTCAAATTGATCAAAGAGATCAAAATCCACAGTTTACAAAGCATTTGAGCAATATATAGATCCTCATTTAATTAGTCATCAACAACCTAGGATCGGGAAAAAATGTGACGGTTCAATTCAGCATACTTAAACATAATGAAATTTAGTAAACAAAATGAAAAGGAGATAAAAATCATTATACCAATGGCGAGTAAAGGATTCCATATAATTAGTTCCCTTCATAGACATTATTTTTGGTTTACAAAATGGATAATCAAAATCATAACAATAGTAAAGTAAGCGCAAAAAATATAGTTTTAAAAAATCAAAGCTTCGACAAAATGATGAAATATTTTAGATTTCTAAACAAAGAACGAATACATCTACACTGCCTCGACCGATCTCAAACCATTTCACCAAAGTTCATCAGTCATTGATGATTCTCACTATGAGGATACCGACGTAAATGTTCACCACTAATGACATAACTCGGTCTAACAGTTAGTAATATCGTGGTTTGACTGTCTGTAACGTTTTTACAGATCCTGAAGTGTCGGCGATGTTTAGATTCATGAATTCCAATGCATGAGTTTATATTGTAAAACAATCGAGAGACAGTCGTACGTGAGTAAAAATGTCATTTTTCAGATTAGGTAATGTTGTGCTCTTACCCTACCTTAGTACCTACAAATTTTTAACGAAATAAATGTTCATAAATCTCCTTTTACTTTTGTGTTTTGTTTTTATTCTTTGGAAGGAAAGTGTATTTTATTTAAAGAATCACCAGAAAGTTTGAAGAATATTTCTGTGTTATACTTAACTTTCAAGCAAAGCTTATCCTTACAAATAATAATAGTCATGATAATATTAATGCAACTTGCCAACCAAGTGCAAATTAGTTTACTTAGCTTTGAACCACATTTATCTGAGAATTAGTGATACTAACCAACTGCCCAAACGAAAGTAAATGAAGTGCAATTTGAGTTTGGGACCTAGTGGTTTAACGTTTGGTTTAATCACTAAACTTACCACTCTGATCGTATTCACAATCAACTATTAAACTAAATACTACCTCAGTCTTGCATCAAATATATGTCTAAATAGTCGCTGCACACGCTTCAATTTATTCATGTGCCCTTTTAAAAAATATTATTTGTTATCTAGCCAAATTATCGAGCCATCGTTGGATTCACAGAAAATGTAATCCAGTCTAATCTGTCAAGACAATTTGTAACTAATAGTCCTAATTGTTTAATCATACGAAACTTGCCATACTCACTAACTGCAACTGAGATTAAAGAACATTTCCCCATGGCCAATCGTGTTCATTTAGGTGTAAATAAGTTTGGAATATTCAATGGGTAGGTACTATTTTTCTTTACCACTTTAAATGGAGTATAGTATTTATTAGATATTACTTTATTGAATCATACATAGGATTACAACTATCAATATTATTAGATTGATCCCAAGATGTCTCATGATCGATGAGTATTTGATTTAGGTGGTCAAATATATCTGTATAGTTATTGAATCGAGTTCTGGATTTCAAGTAATCAATTAATTGAGTTATATTATTCATAAAATATGACCGTCGTATTTGCCGGTAAAGATGCAATTAGGACAAGATAACTAAGTATTACTTGTCTCTTTGGTGGGTTCTTGTAGTAATAAATGGCGTTTATTCCTAGAATCGATTACTGTGAACGATAAACGTAGACAACTTTTTCACCTTTATTGTGGCTCTATGTTAAGTAGAGAGAAATAGATTAAACACTCACTAAATGGTTTATTAAACTCATCGAAGAAGAATCAAGCGAACTCTAGTGGACGCGAGTATATATACAATGTCTTCAATAATAATGAAAAAATAGCATACTACAACATGTACAAGCCAATCAAATCGAACCGAAGGCCTCCAGCTGCCACGACAAACACAATGCCCTTAGACTATTGGGTCGCCATCCAACTGTTTAGATTCTCAGCTTTAGTTAGTTTGTCGTAATATAGGGGTTTTGGTTGTGAACTGCCCCACTTCTGATGTAGTTGACATTAGAGTTTATGACTTCTCACTAGAGCTGTAGGAAACTCGTGAGAACTGATCACTAGTGTAAGTATATGCTTATCACTTTTCAGCACGTTTTTGTGGAGAATTCATAGAATTTGATCTAATGGTATTAGTTTCACTCGCTGTCTTGAGTTCAAATATTATAACTGATTATCCTACTTCAAACTTCGATCTATCATATTCATTGTTTAATTAACTTTTTTTTAGTTCATGTATATTAGAAATGAAGAATAAGGAAGATCTTCAAATTCTTATAAATGAATGTAAACATAAGTATATTAATAATCGACTGGTTAGAGCAAATCTACAATGTAAATCCAAATCGGAATCGTCCAAATCTCCCGATGCAAGTATGAGTTATGGTTTGAAACTTAAAGAAGTACCCAATGTGATTGAAGATGATCGAATTAAAGCATTATTTCCCGAAACATCTTTGACTGGTTTAAGCTCGGCACCACTTAAAGATTCCAATACTAGGTAGGTGGCCTTTGTTTAAATAACTTGAGAATTCGTCTGAAAATAAAAAATACTTTTTTTAAAAATCGCGACACTCAGGATCATCATTGAAGAATCAGTTGAATGGAACTAGTCACTATACATCAACTTCACTAACTATGAGAAAACATTTGACAGCCTAGGTAGGAGAACCTTATGGAAACTTCTTCGACACGACGGTGTACCTTAGAAGATCATCAACATCATACGTAATTCATACAACGGACTACAGTGCAGAGTAGTGCATGGAGGACAGCTGAGAGATGGATTCCAAGTAAGAACCGGAGTCAGATAAGGCTGCTTACTCTTCCCTTTTCTTTATCTTCTAGTGATTGGCTGGATTATGAAGGCCTCCACATCTGAGGGGAAGCACGAAATACAAAGAACAGCTTAGAATCAATTAGACGATTTTGACTTGGCCATTCTATCCCATACACACGACAAATGCAGATGAAGGAAACTAGTGTAGCAGCAGCCATTGCATCAGTAGGCCTCAACATACACAAGGGAAAAGACAAAATCCCCAAACACAACATGAAAAACACCAACCCAATCACACTTAATGAAGCTCTGGAAGATGTGGAAACTTTCACGTACCTGGGTGGCATCATCAATAAACAAGGAGCATCTGATGCGGATATGGAGGCAAGGCTTGACAAAGCAAGGGGTACATTCTTACAATTGAATAACATATGGAACTCAAAACAACTGTCAACCAATACAAAAGTCAGAATCTTCAATACGAACATCAAGTCAGCTCTACCGGACGGAGCTGAAACTTGGAGAACTACCAAAACCATGATCAAAAGGTACAAGTATTTCTAAACAATTGTTTACGTAAGATGCTGAATGTCCGTTAACCGGATACCATCAGCAACAGCCTCCTGTGCAAGAGAACAAACCAACTTCCAACTCAAGAGGAAATTAGCGAAAGACGCTGGAAGTGGAAAGGATGTACATTGCGGAAGTCATCAAACTGCATCATGAAGCAAGCGCCAACTTGAAATCCTGAAGGGAAGCGGAGAAGAGGAAGGCCAAAAAGCACACCGTGTCGGGAATCGGAAGCAGACATGACAAGAATGAATGGCAACTGAGAAGGATTGCCCAGGACAGAATCGGATGGTGAATGCTGGTAGGCAGCGGCCTATGTTCCACTACGATGGCTAACAGGCGTAAGATTTGCAATAAGTGCTTCATTCATATGCGTCTATCACTTGTAAATTCTACTAATTATGAGTAGTGTAGTTCTATATTTCGGTTTGTGTGGGAGATTTTAGTGTTGATTTAAGAGCCCAGAGTAGGATAAAGGTGAGCTTTTTTTACAGTTTATTTGTCTCTATCATATAGTTATGGGGTTAATTCATTATCCGCATTGACTGGGAACCATACCATGGGACCTCCGAGATAAAAAGGAAAGATCTAAATTGGTTGTAACCCAGTAAAAGATATTTTCAGATGTAATCCTTTGAGCCATGACATCAGTATGCGAATATGTTGTGTGTTGTTTTTTTTATTATTTTTTTGGCTTTGGAATAAATGTGTCAGTAGTTCTACCAGGATGCTTTATGCTTCTTGTAAGGAGTGAGCTAAAAAGCAAAGCCTAGGCATTAGTAATTTTACGTCGAATTTCATTGTATCAAATTCACAGTATTCATTCAAGAGTACTCATAAGTTGCAATTTTCATGTTTTCGATTTTGCTTGTAAGAGGATCACTAGACTTATTTATCAGTTATTTATCGATAGATTTTGTTTATATATACTGTAAACAGTGTTATTGGTTTGTCGTTTTCCGTTCATGGCTACCAGGGAACTTCGTTACCAGTTGGGTCTATGGTAGTAATTGTTATATTAAGCACAAAAATACTAAGAATTGTTCGGCGAAAAGAGACAAGCTGTTTTCAGGTTCCTGGTTCATTGATCATTTTATTGTCATCTTTTTTCGGGTACTTTGACACATCGTTACACATATTGCAATTTAGTTGTCGTGTTACTTTTTATTAGTAGTGCCTTTGATTGGTTACGCAAAACTGTACTGTGGAATTGTTTCTTACGGAAAACATCTTTTTAGAAGTTAACATGTTGAACATTCTGTAAATAAATACTTTAGCTCACTTGATGATATGCAACTATCTATTTCCGTTGTTGAAGATCTGTAGTTAGATTATGTAGGTTCCTCCTCAGTGCTTGAATAAATGTCGTATTCGTAAATATGAGGTTGAAGTGTTGGTCATAATTTACAATTATTTAGTATCGTTATTCTTAATCCCCGTAAACTTATTTTTAGATACAGTGTGAGAAAAGTAATTAGGAAATTTTAGTGAAAACTTGGTTTTACTACATATCTGCTAGTCTTCACTCAACATATACATTTTTCTTTACATAGAAATGTGTTCATCTTCTTCAAAAAGAGTGCTCAGCGTAAAGCGGCTTTTAAGATGTTCAAGAATGAAGTTATCATGGGTTATCCAATTTCCTGTCGATTATGGGGTACGAATGTAATTTAACTTGCTTTTTATTACAAAATTCTACTAAATAAAATACATTTACAGCTACACGAAAGCGGTTATCACTTTGGTACAATGCCAGAAAATATATCACGTAGCATTACCATTTACGCCCATATAACTAAACTCCCTCCACTCATGGGGATGAGGAATTACGCAAACATGTTTATACGCGCTGATTCCTCGGCGAGTGAATGGCCTGCCAGTGGTAGATAGGGAGTGGAGTATTGTGATGTTGAGTCTTCTGGTTTGTGTTGGTTATTGGTGAAATGTCTTCTAGTGAGTGTGATCTTTGTATATGGATATGACGGTTTCCAAATTTTGATGCTATTGGCCTCATAATTCAAAAGCAAGCCGTCAGTATCCATCTTTTGTACTATCGCCATATAGTCTCGTTTCCAATTGCCTTAACAGTGAGGGAAATGGCAAATACACAAATGTTTTAGTGATAAACTGTTAACATTTAATTCGCCAATTAGTGTGAACTTATATCGCTCGTCATGTATACACGTTACAATCACACTTAACATTTGATGAACGAATTCATTCAGAATGGAGAGAAACAGCAAAAAAGTTTCTGATCGAAGTAATTACACTTTCCCTAAATACATTACAAAGCCTTTTCTCAATTTAGAATGGGTACACCCCTTAGATTTTAAGGAAACAATTGGCTTGTTGGATTTGCTACTTGCCGAGGATTACATTGATACGTATGATTTTCTCATCTATTTGTAAAACATGTCCAAAAAATTATATCTCATTAACGCCTTTATGATAGAAGAGTTGACAACAGCAGGCAAAACCCTAATGCTGAAAATTATTACTAGCAATTACATTTCTGGCACCGTTTAAAAAACGTGTGGCCATAGTTGATTCTTTTTATAGAGTCTGATGAAGAAGCCAGTCGTGCGGGTGCCGCAAAGTTTAATCTGAATATTCTATTCTTGCTGGTTAAGTGATGTTCTTTAGGAAATGTAATTGATTGTCGAAGAGCTGTTAATGTCCCGACGTTTACGTTTTTTAAATAGAATTGTACTTCGTATATGGATTTTCTATTCTAAATAATTTTTCTATCTTTATTTTTCTTAGTATCATTGATTTTAGCGTTGTGTTATTTTCATTTAGCAACTTTGTGTCTTTATGTTGTCTCAAAATGTGAAAACCTGAATCAATCCGATTGAATATATGATCTTGAAAGAGCGTTGTGTTGACTTAATTTAGTCTTTTTAGCAAACTAAATTAACTACTCAACTAAGTCGAATGATGATGATATCCAGGATGACCGTTATATATGATCGCGCAACAATTGTCTGTTGTTTAATAGCTCAAACTGAAACAAATTTGTGTTTTTTGGCACAGCTGAATTATAATTTGGAAATAACATGACCATAATGTCAAATATATATTCACTTGGTCTCAGAGTGAACATCAACTCTGAGATGCAGGTACATCCAGTTGAGGAGTCCCAAATAGGACGAAGACGCGCGTCCTGGATTCCACTGCTAGTCACTATCCATCTTTGCTTATAACGCTTGTGAATTAAGGCAGTTCCGAAGCAATACACACAGTATGCACATATGCCAATAAGAGACTGATCAACTGCAGTCCTTAACATCAATTGGAAGATTCAAGTAAACAATACCAAGTGAGTTTAAACTTCACCCTATTGCACAAGCAAGTGACTTTCAGGACTCAGTAGCTAAGTGGATGGCGTTTGAAGCGAATGGTACTGGGTTCGAGTCCCAGAGTGAACATTAACTCTGAAATGCGGTCGAGTTTTCTATTTATTAAGCTGCTACTTTGCTGTTGGATGTTGTTACACATATTGAATATTTACTGACCAGTTAGTCATTTTATTTATTTTCACCTTCGACCTTATTTAGCAACATTTCACTGCCTAGCATGTGCATTAATTTAAAATATATTGTTATCACAGCTTAATTAAATTTTTCAAATTTCTACCCTTAGTTCCTACTAATCGAAGGCATAAATCACAAACAAAGAATATAGAGGAGAAAGTGAACGATACAGTTCTAAATTATAACTTACCCAAGTCAAGTAAGTAATGGGTTTTAATTCCTTCATTTACCACCTTTATAAATAAGTTTGACTCTGATGATACCAAGAGCATAAACTGTCAGAACTTCACTATAATGGATTAATTTTAATTGAAATGTGAGAAACAAATCAGAATATTCCACAGCTTTCCAGGATTTCAACATTGTTTTTTTCATTTAATTCACTTCAAACCTGGTACAACTGGACACCAAAAGTACGATGTGCTACACAGAATATAGAAATAGCATTCCGAAGAAAGAAGTGAGAAAAGAAGTATATCTCAAGAAAAGGAAATAAATGACAAGGCCACGGTGTATAATTGGAAATAAGGTTCAGTTAACAGTGCAACAGAGAAAGATTTCTCTCAGTTAGAAGTTCCATCCATTATTATGAAGAATAACAAAGAAAGCTGCAATATGATATATATGTATCAAGAAGCATTCAGATTTTCGGTCTACTACAGGTGTAGATGTGATTTAATATTTGGTAGTAGGCGAGGACGTGATCAGTATGTCTACCTGCATGCTCCTCGTACCAATTTTTCACTAGTTTTGTACAGTCTGCAATGAATGACAGAAGCCAATAGTTTGGACCCTGTGGAAGTAGATTCGCTCCTCGATAATTGTAGGGTAGATGAATATGAGATAGTTGCTTGTTCGATAAATTTCCGAATAAATTCTTAAATATAGAATAGAAGAAAAAGCTATGGAAACTTTCATATATTTTTTGCTGCATCTTCAATAAACCTTAATAATTTCACTCGAATTTATTCGAACTCAATTATTATTTATTTATTTATTTGAATACATAGATATTGGTACAAGGGGACACCAGATACATATGTGCCACAAAAATCTCATTTGATTTGTGTGAGGGCCGTGATACTGCCCGGGTGCCCAAACCGAAGCAGGTGGTTTTCTTAGGGGACCACGCCCGAAGCCTTTGACATATAGCTCTGATCTACAAGGCAGTGGAGCATCGTAAGGAGATGCAGTCCCATGGTAGTCGGTGATGACCAATAGTTGGTCCATACGCCATTTGTTCCCACAGGATACTGGAGCCCATTTGCACCATTGGTTTGGAATCAGGGTTTTCCAACTCCCCTAGGTGGATCCTCTATATCCACCAACCCGGTTAAAGCACCGGACATTCGCTTTTCGTCCTCTCAATTTCGTAAACAACACCCGTGGTGCGAGAAGGCAGTGAGTAGGACTTCTGTGGCAGAGGCTATATACGCGTGGCCATATGAGAGCATTCGGAGAGGGAGAACGAACTCTTCCCACTCGGCTGTACCTGGGCATTTGACTTGATGTACAAAACTGGAAGATCAATGATTAATTTGTGGTTTTCCTTTTAATCCTCTAGTAATAATTTGTTATGCGGAAAGTCATATACTGTTTATAGTGTTTTGTACGTCCATCGAACCAAGAAACACGTTTGCTGACCTCCAGTGAGTGTTGCTGTGTTCTATAAATAGAAAGGTAGTTAGAATAAAACCACTAGAACTTTCAATTTTGATGCCTACTGTTAGGAAAATTTGCCGAATATGTAGTCAAAAACAATCACTAGCCTTATTAAAAGCTCTTCATACTTAATCCACATTAAATTGAATTATATTACTACACAGGCCATCTGCAAGGAGTAATAACTACCAGTCATAACGCAAATCATAGATCCCAAACAAAAATTCGAGGATTAAGGGAGGCGGAAAATTGGCAGCCAAATAGCAAACAGGCTTATTACTAATAATATGTGCAAATGGTCGATAACATTGATTTAGATATTCGTAGTGCATGTTTAACGCGTTTTATGATAATAATTGACTCAAGGTTAAATATCCTAAAAATACTTGATATTAATAGGTAAACGTCTACAAAGCATGGTGCTGATTCCTTCCATATGCCCTGATACCGTACTAACCGTAATCAAGCAGAGGTTGTGGTAGGTTCGAAGGATTAAGATATCAGCTAGGACCGGCAAACGGGACGAAATTCAGCAACGCGACAATAGAACAAGCTAAGTTATTCCACTGCGACCTATCTCTGTTGGCTAGAAGAGGACCAGATTCATCCGGGAAAATATATAACTCCACAAGCAGCCCGGAAGAATAAGCGTCAAGCGCACGACTCACACGTATATATATAACACAAAAATGTCCTTGAAAACGTCACAAGATAGCATACTAAACGGGGAATCCAACGAATGACGTTTAAGGTCCTTCCAGGTAGTAAACACAAACCGAACGTAAAAGTGTACGTTTTTGGCGCGAGAACGAGAAATTCAAGTTCCCATAATGAAATTACAAAAATAATAAGTTCACCAATTGATTTCTGGAGATCTAGCATCTCCATAGTATGTAGCAATCTAGCAAAAACAGAACTTTTGTCCATTTATAAATTAAAATTGCACAGGCAGAATAATTCAGGCTCATTAACTCAGCAACAATACCAATTGTCCAATAAGGTTATTTCGACTATGTATCGGCCTGATTCGAAATCAAAATCTCGTGGACCAGTAACTTAAAATAATCATATCGCTTATTTGGAGTGTAAATAAGTCCTTTGTGGACCCCCGGTGTGTATGTAAATACTCATTTTTAACAACTACGAATTTGTAGTAAGATTTTTTAAATTTAATATAACTACAGATGAGCTCGGTCAGAATGAAATAAAATGGAATATGGAAAAATGTAGGAATATGTCTTCATCCTTTCCCAAGAAGTTAGTATTTGAATCTGGTAAGTTGTTAATATTTCTTGTCATTGGTTTTTAAAAATTATTCACAAATGTATAATCTTTGAGTATTGTAAATCACTGTCAAGTTAAAACTATTAAAAACATTTTTTCGGATGTTTTATGCAAACACGTTTTTTATCTGAACACTGAAATTTATTTGTATTGATGGCAACAGTAATTTCTGTCTATTTTAATGTAATGAGATCCGCAGTATCTTGTTCAATTGTGGTCATTTAATTAATAGGATCCTTTTTATTGATAATTCTTTTTTGGTAAGGAATGTATATCAATGCTCTGCTCTTTGAAGTACCATATCCCCTTTCCAATTAATGCTTTATATAGCTTTGGACACGAATTGATATTGTTTGCAACCACAATCCGAGATGAAATCGGACCCAAGACTTCTGCACATGGTGACCGGTGCGATACCTTCAAACTAATTAAATAAAAATCTAGTATATCTCACTTTACGTTTTTATTAAATGGTCATTTGGTGTGATAGTCATTCACCGGTTAGTAACTGTTCTGCTTGTGAAATAATTGTCACCTCGTTAAAAACTATGAGATTTGATCCGTGAATACTGTTTAAGTATTGGATTTGTGTAAGTTTGTGCACTACCGAATAACCTCTACAAAGTGTTACGTTTGTTGAGTGTTATTTTGTTCTTCATAATTCTATGGTTGATATCCGCTTATGATGACAAATGTCTTAATATTATTGTTTTTAATTTCAGATGATGAATAAACAGTGGAGACAGGATTTTTTCCAACACCTGTTTTACGGACGATCATAGTAGCGATACACTGAGGAAATTATACTAGTTAGAGTAAAGAACAACCTGATTATTTGTACAAAGTCACTTTGATTTAACAAAGATAATTTTGAAAACCTTACGTATTTACTTTGACTTACCAAAGTATTCTCATTAATATTAGCTAACGGAAGTTCCGTCATCCTAGAATACTTTTTTCATTATCTACATCTTAGTTTCGTGTGCTTGCACAATTGTACTAAGTATATTTAACCCTCACTTGGCTCACTGACGAGTACCTGTCATTTGTGAATGCACGGATTGGTCAGAATGCATGGTCACCAAACGATTTACAAGATGCAATGCTTAAGGAGAAGCTAAAATGCAAGGTTTCAATCTGCATTCTAGTGAGAGCTGATAACTCAGTGTGTTATTACTAGTACTTTTATAGGGGGTTCATTTGTGGAAAATGTGTAACCTTTTACTGATACGTTTACGTGCTGATTTCGTAATAACCAGGAATCTCATTTCAAACACCGGACAAAGAAACCTTACTCCGTTCCATGGTTTGTCCGTGTAAGAAAATCAATACATTTGTAGATTTATATGACTACCAGCTCCTGGGAACTGTTCGTTCTGTTGATTTCAGATCTTTTGAGGGGTCCTGAAGAACAATGATTAGTCCTACGGTTTTCGTGGTTTCTGAATACTTCGGGGGTATAATCGGAGATTTATGGTACCTTCCATATTTAGTGTTTCCGAGGAGATTTAACAACATTTTGGTTACTATGCATGAAACACGAACGGTCGATCATTAGTCAACAATGAAAGTGCCGCAGGGTTCCCACTTATTATAGAGAGCTTGACACTTGAGTTATCATAGAATACTTGTCTTTTCCATCAGTACGGCTTTTGTAAACGGAAGTTGCTTTGCTTATAAATTGTTCGTCCACTGAGCAATCCCTGCATACTGCATCCAGATGTCCCCCTGTCTACTTGCGTAGATGTACGCGTTGATGATGAGAATTAGACAAATATGATTACTCCCCAAGGGTTTTTAACAAGTTCCAAATGCGTCTTCATGACTTATCCTCTGTATTTCTTGGGATCCAGTATTCGCTGTAGCTCTTGTGTTATGTGGTACAAAGTTCTCGCAAGAGTATTTTGGTTCTTCTGGTATCACTGAGTTTATCTATATCAACATGGAGTAAGTCATACCTTCTGAACAGTAAGTTCGATGTAATACCAGACGACGAAGAATGGAGTACCTGTGATTTAACTATCTACCTAGAAATTTGAGGCGGTACTTACGGTCATTCTTGTTTCACAAATGTTTTCGGTATTTAGAAACTGGCATGGGAAGTAAGCTAACTAATTCCAACCAAATATTAACGGGATATTTAGGGATCCTGTTTGAAGAGCTTCGAAACTGAAATCATTGAAGATAAAAGTAAACAACGAAAATGTTTCAGTCACGATGTTCTGTACTTTTTGATAATGCTTAGTTCATCGGATGAAAAGACACCGAGCCTCAGTCGAATCGACCTGTTATGTTGAATGACCACAACATTGGGGAACTGCTCACTTGATGTTGAGTTATGTTTCACCATCGGTTGAGGTCGAAATTAGACAATTTATCAATACACGACTGCCTGTCTATGACTCATAATTATAGCATTTCTGCGGCCTATCTTTATAAATACACTTCCATTCTTGTGGGATTTCAGTACGATATTACAGTCACCAGGTTAATGTGAGAAGTAATTATTTAGTGAAGTTTTAGAGCAGGTGTCAACAATAAACTTTACCGAAATGACCCGCTAAACTGGTGGTATCGCTATTTTGGGAGGTCGAAAGCTAGGCGTAAGATAATATGTCTACACTTGTCAGTCCCAGTATTGATGAGTTGATGTAGTTCTACGGTGGAATTGAAACATTCAATATTATGTTCTTACTTTGTTTGCTGGCATTTGTTATTCTTCGCATGCATATCTGATGAGACTTCAGATGTTTTTTTGAGGACATTGAAGAAACTGGACTTCCTGGCCATCATGTTCGGGTGGATTAGAATGTTACCAGGAATTACATCCGAAGTTATTGACTCTACGTTTTAAAAAGGCACAGCGTAGAAAAATCTCATTATACACCATGGTATACATTTCCGCACCTTTTTTCTGATTAAAAGCGCGAAAAATATATAGTGTTTCGTGTATATTCATGTGATTATTTATTAGTTTTTCTATCCGCATACATTTTCGACATAGATGTTACTATTGGCGTGCTAACCTACATTATACATTAAAGCTCTGAACTATGCAAACCCACTAATCTCTTACAGTAGTTTATTCTTTCATCAATACACTTGTGAAATTTAGAAGGAAGATGATGTTGCTAGAGTAATAAACTTTACTTAAGTTTTTGAACTTTCCATCGTGTAACTACTTAATCTACAAGAGCTTACGTCATAGCTTCATTATTGTCTTTGCTGACTCCCTCCTTTATTATACTAAGTGTTCTTGCTTACTGATGGAATAGGATGATATGTACAACTACGATGAGTTAAGGAGTGGTCGTGAGGCCGTCGAAATGTCACTCTGATCATTGCATGTCTAATAGTTTCGTGAACACCGTCAAGTTCAAGGGAAGACAGCGCCAACCACTAAGTTTCCACATCATGAACAGCCAAATTCGCGGTGTTCCCACTCTGTTTATTATTATTCTTGCGTTATACGTTCATCCAAGTATCCACAACACCTCAATACAAAAAAAGGTATTTGAAGTTAAGCAATAATCCCGAGGTTTGACATCAATATAAGCTGAGAGGTAATGACATTCCTGTCCAACGCAAGCAGTGTCTCAAACAAAGATACAGTTCACGTCGGACTCACCAGTGTTGATTACCAAAGCAAGTGATTTATATCGCTGATTGCGGTGATATTTGCGTTGAACAGGAATGGCATTACCTCTCAGCTTACCATGATGACGAATGGAAAATGTTCGACGTACTGTGATCACTACCTCATGACTAAGCCGGCACGACCGAGACACGAACCTTTTTCCACGATGAACCTCATCGAAGTTCAACTATTTGTCAAATACTCAACGGCCCATTTAAATCTATGAAGTTATGGTCTACTGAATTTGAAGTATGGTTTGTAGAATTATGGTTCAGTTCGTTTTTAGTACTACTACAAAAATAGACCTAATCCCAACATTGTAGATATATCATGGTGTGATTACCTAATCTATAAGATCTTACGTGGAAGTCACATAATTACCTACACTGACTCCTCTTATCGCAACAATCAGCAATATGATGTTTGGTGTTTATAAAGAACATATTTAGGTTGGAGATAAAACAATATATTTAGCATGAATAGAAAAGATACGTTACAAAAGAATGATCACGCCTGCAAGACTCAACCATACCATCCGGTTTAATCTCGAATGAGTGTTCCCGCGTTCACTATTATTGACCTTTTCTTAGCGTTATATGTTGAGGGCTTACTTAACCAGTTATCTCATGTTAAGGTATGAGGATTGTGTGGTTAGGGCCAATACCATTACAGGTTCACTATGTAGCATGGTCATTACGCACTCCTATACGATTGATCGTCACCTCACTCCAAAAACGTTATGACTAATTCCTAAAGCAATCCACTTATCAAAACACTTGATCAACGCACAACCAGCACGTTACACAATTCGTAATTCCTTTACAATCATGAACTTTACGAGTGTGATCTACTAACTCAGACTGAAATATGTTTTCTGAAACAGTTTGTATAACACCTTCAGTGTTTAGTCATCATACAAACCCAAAAAATCTTTTACATCACTCCACAAAAATGTGAGATTAGTATTGATCAAAAACAGCAAAAGTTCGATTCTTTTACAAAAGTACTGAGGCAGGCGTGTATTTTTGAGTGGGTAGATCCTGACACGGTTCCATTTTCATAACTTCGAACTGGGATACAAAAAATGACACACTTCAGGTATTTCTGTACCCGAGGAGTTCGATGGCTCCTCTGACTTGCCGGAATATGGTTAAAGATGGAAATATGTAAAATAACTGTCTGGTTAAAATGCATCAAAGGTGAAACCTAACATTTAATGTTTGTCATTGTAGTTTAGTTTTTAAAAATCGTGATGATCAGAGGTAGTCGAATTCGGTATGCTAACTAGTAATTTACACAAATGTCAGAATCGTATCCTTGTAGTCATCAATGGATCATTATTTTAGACGGAGAGAATTTCATGTACCGAATATTGGTATGGGTGAAAAGATAATACCAGGTTAAATCTGCCTATTCAACCTTGAGTGGCTTTGTTCAAGGTGGGCGTTCCATATTTGAAGTGCTCACTGTTGGTTAAGCTTATGTTAACTTCTACGAATTCGTAGTGTTCAAACAATTAAGTCTGAAAACCTAAAACAAATGCGTTTAAAATAACTGTGTGCTATCATTCTTCTTCAGTACAAACACTGCTCTTGTTTCCGGGTAATTGGAAATCGTGTCAATTTCCAAAAAAACGATATATCAGTAAGTATAATAACATACAATTCCAAGGACTGTTTATTTATGTTGGTAGGAGATTGTCTAGCGCTAGCTGTCAAGCTTTCAGATGCCTCAATGTTTCCCTTGATGTGAGCAAAGAGTTTAGACAGCTGATGCTGAACAAACTTTCCTTGGTTAAGTTGATTTCCTAAGAGAGTGTAACGAATTTCAACGCGTAAGAAGGCAGCTCGACTGCTTTGTAGATTGCGCACACTAAACATATGCAATTGGAAAGATTGAAGTTTAGTGCGAGCGAATCCTTAAAACAGGTAAGAAGTCGATTTTTCAATGGTATGCTAGCCTTCATGACATCAATCTGAATTATCATTAAAAATTGTATTGTCACATGCTTAGCATTGTATTGCATTTCAATCAGTGTATAATTAAAATACTATTCCTAACAAATATTTGGTTTCCACATCATTATAATTATAGCGGTATGAGAGAACAGTCTGTTTGAATATTGGTAGATGGGGCTTTGTCTCCTGCGACTAGTTGTGGTACTGTAGTGGACGATAACACAGGCGGGGACAACCAAACGTATTCGAATACAAAATCACAGAATCACTTGGTAAAATCTGAGAAC